GAAAGCTTATGGCCTCACAGAGTAACCTCTACCTTACATACCTGTCTCTTGCTCTCTCCTATAGGGCAGCACTCTACCCCCTCCTCCAGCTCTGCTTCACTCCCACCCTATTTTATATTTCCTGTCCTAACGTGTCTTATACCCCACCTCCTATAGACTGTAAGCTCATTTGAGCTGGGTCCTCTTTAACCTATCGTTCCTGTAAGTTTTCGTGTATTTATAGTTAAATCCCCGCTCTCATAATATTGTAAAGTGATAAGGAATCTGTTGGCGCTATATAAATGGCAATAATAATAATAATGATAAAATGGCATACCATTGTTTGTTGGATTGAAAGTTTGGGGTTCTAATTTAGAACCATTTTGTATTCAAAATGTTTTAATATCAATAAAAAAAAACCACAAAATAATTGTCAGTAAGCACGCCTCAGCGCATAACCGCATGGCGGACCAGATCCACCACCTACAACAGGCTCTCAGAGGTCAGAATCTGAAGATTGCTGACCTGGAGGATAGATCCAGGAGAAACAACTTGCGCATTAGAGGTATCCCTGAAACCATCACCAATGATGCCTTATACCACTACCTACAGACCTTCTTGAGTTCCAGGAACTCATACCTGAAGTACACCCGGATCAAATAGTCCTGGACAGAACGCATAGCCTCCCAGCCTCGACCGCCCGAGATGTCATCACAAGAGTACACTTCTTCCATGTGAAAGAAAGGATTGTTAAAGCAACGAGAAATGGCGACTTACCTTCTCCATATGGGGGTCTAAAGAGCTTCGCGAACCTGTCAGCGCACACACTCCAATTTCGCAAGTCCCTGGCTCCTGTCACCACCGTGTTGAGAACACATGAGGTTCCGTACCGTTGGGGCTTCCCGGTCAAACTCATCGTCCATCACAACAACTCTAACCACTCCATCTCTGTGGAGGAAGGCGTGAAGAAGCTGGCGGATTGGGGGCTTCCTAGACCGAACATACAGCTGCAATCAGTGGCTAAAATACCCAGATTGTCTGTGGACTGGTCCACGGCCTAACGCTGAGGCTGAGTATATTGCTACATAATTGCTAGACCATTCCAAAAATGTTTATAAGATGTACCTTTGCTAATTACCTAACTTAGTCCTACGGACATTATTAAGGGGAATATATGTATAAGTGCATCTTAATTATGTACCGTAGATATATTGCATGGTAAAGGTCCCAATTTACTAATTGGCGGCTAGAACAGACGCTGCCCAATAGTAGTCACGCTTACATACCGGGCCCAGACAAGGCAAGGTACCCATTTATATTTTTGGGGCTTTATGTAGCGAGGTTTCCCGAAAAATGCATAACCATGATATAAGTTACTCCATTAACTCCAATGCGTGGTTCCCCCCCACCCACCACTACGGTCGTTGATACAGCAGACTGACCGGGGACCACGACACCAACAGCCTGTGCCTAGCACAACTACGTACGTTATAGCTCACAATGTTTGAGCTCCTTTCAATTCATCTTTGTTTCCTTGTCCTACCCTTACTTTCTCCCAGTCTACTCCCGCATAGACATGTTCCTGTTAGATAGCACGTCATTAGCTCAATTAGCTGATTGCAAGATATAGTCATTTGCATAGTCAGACAACTGTCCAGTTTACGTTACACTACACGACACCTTCCAATTTAGGGCAAGGGGAACTGGAGACTTAACGAATGTCTGCTCGCAGATGCTGCCTTTGCCTCCCATGTAAAATAAGAACTAGACCACTACTTCCCCCTCAATGGTGGGGGAGATGTATCTGATACCTCGGTCTGGCTAGCCCATAAGGCAGTCGTCCGACAAATGTTTATTTAAATGATCTGCATACCTAAAAAGACAACGCCAGCGAGAGCTTCTCCAGTGCCATAAGCATATTGCAGACCAAAACAAAACCAACCCAACTAAAGAACTTGCTGCTGAAATTAAGCAAGCTTACCGCAAAACGCGGTAAAAACCGTATACTTATTAAATAGACTGAAAGCCACTACTTACCATTTCAGGGGGAAGGCTACCAAAGGCCTTGTGGCGAGACTGCGAGATAAACGTTCCACTAACAAAATTGCACACATTATAGGGGAGAACGGGACAAGGAAACTGGGGCCACAAGAGATCAGTGATACCTTCGCCCAATTTTACTCAAAACTATGCAACTTGAAAGACAACCTCAACATACACACTCCCACTGACGCGGAAGTGAAAACATTCCTTGACCGAATTAAACTACCACAGCTTTCGCAAATGCAAATAGAGGACTTGACGCCCTCTCACATTACCTGAAGTGGAGGACACCATACGAGACTTACCCTGGGGTAAATCCCCTGGAGCGGATGGGCTCTCCAATCTATATTATAAAAAATATGCCTTAACATTAGCTCCTCACCTACTAGGGACTTTTCACCAAGCGATGGAGAGGGGAGCCCTGCCGCCAGAGATGCTACTGGCCACCATAGTGACCCTACCGAAACCCGACAAACCGACTGACAACTGTAAAAACTTCCAAACCACTTCCCTACTTAACACTGACGCTAAACTTTATGCAAAGATCTAAGACAACAGACTCGCCCCTTGGCTGCCCTCACTCATTAAGACTGGCTTTGTAAAAGGCAGACAAAGACTAGATAACACTCGCAAACTGTCTGTGGTCTTCCAGCAGCTATGGGGGGCTAGACAGGGTGGCCTACTGCTTGCGCTAGATGCAGAGAAGGTGTTTGACCACCTTGGCTGGCCCTTCCTGAGGTAGTTTTTGGAGGCCTACAGCATCCCCCCCCCAGGTGATACAACAAATATTTGCACTGTAGTCTGGTCCCACAGCACAAGTGCTCCAATCGGGTTTCCTCTCCTCCCCGTTCAAGATTTAAAATGGGACAAGGCAGGGATGCCCGCTCTCCCTACTGCTTTACGTCCTGGCAATCGAACCCTTGTTGGAAGGAATTAGAACTAACAATGGGGTCTAGGGAGTAACAGACTGCCGTAAACAGATCAAAGTGGGGGCCTTTGCAGACGATATCTTGCTGTATATAACACAACCACTTACAACGCTCCCAGTGGTCATGCAGATGATTGTGGACTAGGGGAGAGTGTCTTACTACTCCCTCAATGCTTCCAAAACAAAGGCGCCAGGCATATGCCTACCGGCTACTCTGGTCCAACAACTTCAACAAACCTACACGTTCGAATGGAGAACGGACACACTCAAATACCTAGGGATTACCTATAGCTGCCGTAACCTACTTAAGAAATGGTTCCCACTGTTCCTGTCCTGGACGGAATGGATCATAGCAATCAAAATGTTGATCCTCCCCAGGCTGCTATACTTATTTCGTAACCTACCAGTAGAGCTCCCCCAGTCCTTCTTCAAAACGGTCCAATCCGACATAAACCACTTTGTGTGAAGGGGGGGCAAACCTTAGGTGTCCCAAACCTTGCTCAGCGCACCGAAACACAGTGGTGGCCTAGCGCTACCCAATACTACTACCCAAGGTTTGCCAATAACATACTACTGCGCAACTGTCCTAGCCATAGCCATTCCACATTTCTTCCTTGTCCCCTGCCCCCCAACGGGTGCACTTAAAAAGGAAGCTTATGACCCCACATGCTTGGGCCCCCCTTACAATTCGATTGCTCCTGCAGCTCTGGGACAAACACACACATCTATGTGGCCACTCTGGCTTGTCACTGGCCACATCAGTCATGTCCCTCACATATTGTATCCCCACATTCCATGCCTCACAGTGGCATACTCGGGGTGCCACCCACCTGGAGCACTTATACAGCCAGGGTGCCCTACTGAGCTTCGAAGTATTGGAGAAGCGACACTCATTGCCCAGGGCATCCCAGTACTCCTATGTCCAACTACGGTCATTTTTGGCCAAACACTACCACAGGAATGATGTAGCCAACATACCACCCACAACACCCACTGCATGGAAAAAATATGTATTACCGTGTCAACTCCTACCACATGTAAACTGATATCCACAAGTTACAGGTTAATATCAAGTCATATACCATTTGCTGCGTCAAAACTAGCACAACAATGGGAATCCGACCTAAACTGCTCCCTCCCAGACAAATAATGGGACCGCATCTTCCAACTGCCTCGCCTACTCATCAAGTCCTCTACTCATATAGAACACTACAATACAGTATACAGGTGGTACATGGTACCAAGTAGACTACACAAAATATGCCCCAACACCATGCTGGAGATGCAACGATGCGGAGGGTACTGCCCTACATATTTGGTGGTCCTGTCCCCGCATTCCGACCTTCTGGGCAGGTGTCCATAACGTTGCACAAGCGGCAACTGGATGCTCCATCCCCCTAGCACCCCAACAGCTGTTACTAACTGACCTACCGATAGGACTTTCGAGGGCCGCACAAAAATTACTACTACATGTTGTGCTGACAGCACAGTGGTTAAAATTGCTCAAAATTGGAAACAAACGACTGCCCCCTGTGCCTCAGGCGCTTACTTACTGACCTGGACACACACAGCTTATATGAGAAGGGATTGAAAACGCTATTCCCACCAAATCACACTTCCCTCAAAACATGGGATATGTGGTACTCGTGGAGGTCGCGTACCAAATAACTGTAACTGTACCATACAAACTGGTAAGGGAATTGTAAATCAACATGGAGAGAGAAACGTGAACGAGACAGTCAGGCCCCCTGTGGGGCTATACCAAGTATAAATGTAAGATAAGATAACCTTTATATAGTACGAGACACAATGTACTTATGTGCATGACACGTATATTATACCTGTATCCATTACCTGCTATGTAAGAGTCTACACTTTGAATATTGTATTTTGTATTGATGGAATCAAATTCCACATACCATTTATAGTAATCCCAGTCGGGAGTATGTCAACACACTAGAGTTTTTTTTATTCGATGTGAGAATAATTAATTGTTAATAAGCAAAGTGCAAATGACCATTTCTTCCTTGTATATGTATCCTTTCCCTAGATATCAGTCTAGAAAGTGATGTTTCACCTGTGGTAACTGACGATGAAGATTCTATGTTGGATTCAGATGAAACTGTTTCATCAAGTGATCTGAATACACTTTCTTCTCCAGAACTACTTCGTAGATCTGATACTTTGGGTAATATATTTTGTGTACATATTTGTATAACAAGCACAGTATGTTTATTAAAGGAACACTCCACTGTCCAAAATAATAAGAAAATAGCAGTTTAGAAGATGTACTCCCAGAGAAAACATGCATGTTATCTTTTTTGCATATTTTCTTTGGGGCTGTATGAAATCTTGGCTTGCAGAACCTGCAAATCTAGTATCCTGGCCCCCAACACCATCCAATGGTAGACTGTGAATCCGCTTACAAAAAATGTAAATGTAAGCTGACTCTCTGACCCCCTTCCGGTCTGCACTGATTTGCTAAAGTTTAGGTTTGTAGTTTGGCATTAGCAGTGTTAATTTTGCACAACCGCAGACATTATTTATTGGCTGATAGCTTCAGCTAACCGCTTACATTGGAATGAGATCAGGGAATCCTTGGCACCATACGACTACGTCTTGCTCCATTGGTTGCGTGATTTACAGTACCTCTTTAAGTACATATTAAAATACAGGGGGAAAATTACATATCTGTTAAATGTCTAAATGTTATGATTAGTATGTAGATAACGTTGCAAAAGAGGACCATATGAGAGATGAATTACAGTTAAAAGTGAAAGTAGCCTCCTTATAAATTCACATAGAAGGAGGCAGATTTTCTTCAGGTTCTCAGAGGAGACTGAGCTTCTTATGATTAAATTGTGAATTTGTTTTCTCATAGAGAGTTGGGATTAACCCACGTCAGTCACACTGGATATTTAACACTAATTAAACCAGTCATTGCTGTCTAGGAAATCCAATGCAGGTCACCAAAGGCAGCCAAAAGCAGGCTGTGATCATGCAGATAACTAAGCACCAAAACAACTTTAGCTTATTGAAGTGGTTTTCATGTAAATGAGATACTCCAGGTACCATAAAAATGCCATCACAATGATGATGTTATTGTACAAGGAGGACATGGATGCCTTAAATAATATACTGTTTAATCCCAAACTCTAGAGGACGACACCTGATCGCTCTGCCACTCCACTTGATCTGAAGGAATAAGGCAAGCCTCAGACTGGGCACTAGCTCCCCATTCAGAAAATGGAGTGAAAAATATACATATATTAACACTCTCAGATAACACTCTCAGCCTATCAGCGGCACATGGGTCAAAGCTTCCATCAGGACCTTCAAAGGAAGTGGGGCAGAGCGATCGGGAAATGTCTTCCAGAGTTTGAGGTTAAAGCGTTTACGGTTTAACCCCTTAAGGGAAGACAGAACCTGGGACCTCCATGCACTGTAAAAACTTCATTGGAATACAGCTGTTATGGTGCCCAGAGTGGCCCTTTCAAACATTTTGTTAATGAAGTCTCAGCCACACCTCTCCTAGCTGTGGCTCACAGAGCCTCCCTACACACGTCTTGAAAATGTTATTGCATAGTGTGTTAATTTAGAATTTATTTTCTCCTGCTCTGTAAATTCCTTGCTGTAGTTTGCAGTATTCTCTTGTGTGTGATAAAAGGTCTAGTAACAGAATAGGATATAAGAACTTTTAAACAGCTGGTTGAAAATGAACATTTTCTTTTTATAAAGCCTTTTTTCCCCCCTTTTTTCCATCCATTAAAATACATTAAATTAATTTGAAATACAGTGTAGACATTGTTAATGTTGTAAATGACTACTGTAGCTGGAAACTGCACAGCAGAAAACTGTTGTGCTGATTATAGAAGCAATAAAACTGTCCTTCATTAGACTATTATCTGGAGCAGCAGCAATAATAGGTATAATTACAGGCTCAAGATGGACAGAAATAAGAACTGTCTTCTGAAACTAACCAGTCTGTTCTTGTTATGATTAATAGGGATAATAGGAACCTTAGAAGAAGATAGGTGTGACGAAGTGCCCTTCGCCACTTGGTCCTGGAGAGGCCTACTTGCCAGCCTCCTCCCCTGTGACTATGACTCTTTCATGTATATGGCTTTAAAGCCCCTAGTCTACCTTCAGACGGACTATTTATGTAGGCTGCTTTGTTTATCTTATGTTTTAGTCACCCTGTACCCATTATAGGTGCAGGGTGTGTGTAATGTAATTGTTTATAGTGTGTGTGTATGTACTGTGTAATGTATTGCCTGCTCTCTTGTATTGCTGAGGTTTGCTACCAACTAGGTGGGTTTGGCTATGGAGCTGGTCTAGTGCCCTCTGTTGGTAGCAACAACAATATGCACTACCTGAATTGCAAGACTGGTTCATTTGCATATTCGGGTAGATTTGCATATTGCTAATTCTGCAGGTAGGTGAGATATTTACTGTTAAATATTGTCTCCCCCCACCCCTTTAAAAATGTGCCATTGTGTTGTGATAAGTCACTGTGTGTTTCTTGGTATGGTTTGACTGTTTGTGATTTTATTGAGGTTTCACAACAATGTTATTGTGGTGACTGTATTGGCTGGTCCCAAGGGAATAAAGGTTTTGACAGTTCTTCTTGATTCCTCTAAACGTAGCCTTGTCTCGATATTGGAGGGAGCTGTTATAATCACACTGGGGATTGCTATGCTCTGCATGCTCCCCTGAGCTTGAGTCACTTAGCTCTTTTAAGAGCTTGTTCCTGACACGCTCTCCTTGGAGGAGGGGTCTTCACCACACAGTCCTGGATGCTGGAGGTTTGTACAGGGTGGAAGGAAGAGTTCTTTCCCACACAGTCCTGGAGGACAGAAGCTGATCCAGGGTGGAAGGAAAACGGCGAGACTCCAGTCAAGATACGGCGCTTGCGGAGTCTGCGGTGGTTGTGGTGTCTGCTGCAGTGCTTGGAGTCCTCAGGAAGCGCTAGGAGCATCCGTCAACGGAGGGTACTCAGTCGGAGTACAAGGAGCTCCGTTACAATAGGCTATCTTTCCATTTAGCAATGCCATTCCTTACCCTGTGGATAGCACTTGATTTGAGCCAGTTTCCTCCTACACCGAAACAAGAGAGACACTGTCTCTTCTAATAACACACGCTGCCGCTGGGGAACAAGACCGGGTGTCTCTGTTCCCTGGACCTCACACTGCTGCTGGGGAGTGAGACCACTTGTCTCCCCTCTCTGTAACACACATTGCCGCTGGGGAGAGAGACCGACTTTCCCCACTCCTAACATCTCCATCTGGGGTTGGAGATCTGGGCAGGTTGCCCAGCATGCCTGTGGAGAGACCTCGGTCCCATCTCCACCTGCCAACTAGGGGTCTTTCCAGGACCAGGCGGTAAGGTGCTGGTTGGGAAGTAGGTGATACAGTGCCTGGGTCTCCTGATGACAGGCTTAGTTGCTGGGGAGGAGGGACGAAACACCACGCTCCCGGTGGTATACAGTCCATAAGCCCCATCATGTCGGAGACAGGCGGTGTTACCCGTTTTAATAGGCAAACATAATCCTGTTCTAGTTCCCACTCCCGGTTGGCAAGAAAAGATAGGTCTGGCTGAATGGCAGCGATCTCAGTAAGGTCCCAGTTTTCTGCCTGCTCAGCTCGGATGGACCAGAAGTGAGCAATGTCGGTTTCTCCGAACCAGAGACTAGTTTCAGTAGTATCCCACAACAAACCAGGGCCATTGTAGTCTCCCCCCTCAATACACTTGTACTCTATCAGTCACGGGTAGAGGTGGTAAGCATGCCACCGCAGGGCCCAGTAGCAATCAACCAGCCACACCTCAGTCTCACCTAGCGTCTCCAGTTCGCTTACCCATTACTCTGAGGGCTGGTTTCCCAGGAACGGCATCCGCAGCTCCGCTTGGCGCTGGTTGGTGGTCAGGATTTCCTCACTCCGGAAGGGTCAAATTTCATTGAGGTCTTCCTTCCAGAGATTGGTTTGAAGCGCAACCCTCTGTGTCTCTATCCTCTGGGATAAGGTACTCCATCCTGTTGTCGCTGCTGGAGTCTGGCATTGAAGCCGGATACTGCCCGGCAGTGCTTGCCTTCCATACTGCAGTAGTGCTGGTTTTCCCAATGCTATGAAGCCATCCCACCGCTTGCACCCCTACTAGGTACCTCCGCCAAAGAACGCTTCCTAGCTGCAACAGGGGACACACCGCGTCACTTCTGCCCACAGTCGCCGTGGCTTGACTGGGGACCTGGAACCGCTCCTTCCTGGAGCCGAACGGGAAATTAGCTCTAGACATCCCCAGTCCTGGGAGCTCTAGTCCTTACAAGGACTTTCCCAGTTGAATCCCCTGCAAGCCGGAACAGCAGACACAGGAAACACACAGTTTTGGAGTGTAAGCTGGAATAGATTTTTTTTTTTTTGGTGTCACACTTGGCCTTTTATGCATGTCCTCAAGCAAGGGGTACGCCCACATGGACCTTGTTGGGGACAGGGACACAAACTTACAAACCAGTAATAACACATTTACAATATAAGGCACTCCCACACATGACACACAATCCCTTTAACTGTACTTATTCTAATCCAATTATCTCCAAGCACAGAAAAAAACATACATTTCTAAAATGTCCCAAAAGTACCCCAAAACAAACATCCCCCACAAATGTTACATCCTGTCATAGCTCTGATCTGGGTGACCAACATATCCAAAAATTGCCCCGATCAGTTCAGGGGTTCAGGAATTTCTTGGAAGTCATAATTTTGACCGTCCATGCACATGGTCCTATGCCCAAAACAGTTCCATGAAATCCGTGCTAACGGTTGGTCAAGTTTGGTAGTCTTTTACAGGTTTCCCTGCAGGGCCCATAGTCTGTGGGAAGGAGGCTGGCAAGCAGGCTCCTCCAGGAGCTCTTGGGAAACTCACTTGGAGAGGGGAGTTTGTCCCACATATGTAAGGTGAAAATTATCTACATGTAGCTGTAGGTTGATTTGTTGTAATTTTTTGTTGCTAGATGAATCAGAGTGGAGTTCCAGCGTTGAGAACGTCTTCTGTAAGAAGAATTCTACACTCTTAGAATGCAAAGAAGCGATGGATATAGATTTACATCCAGGACCAGAAAATGTTTCCAATATTTTAAGTAAGGTGTTTTACTATGTTTTCAAGTAAAAAATAAAGTAAGTTTTTTGTTTTTACCTTAATGTACAGGCTTTTAATGACTATACTTTTTATATTCCATAGAAGAATTTCCTAAAATGAACTGCATGAAGACAAATAAAAGGTAATGTCACAACGTAAAAATTTTTAAATGTATATATATATATTTTTTTTTACAAATTAATGTTGACCTTTGATTGCTTTACATTGCAGTAAATATACAGCGTTCAACTTGATATTTAAACAGATGTCTCAGCATTCTAAAATATATGTGCCAACATTGTGGCTTATATAATCTTAATTTTTTACAAAACTTTGGAGAAACACAGCTTCCTGAGAGTATATGGTTAGGATTATGTTAAATCTGCAATTTAGTATGTGTTGGACCCTAATATGTTGTTAATGGGCACTATAAACACTTTTGCCTGTTGTGGTCATGGTACTAGGATGGTGCGAGTGCCATCCCCAGGTGTCAAACTGGTTTCTATAGTTTTGAACATACAAAGGGTTCCTCAGGGGTTTTAGCCACATAATTTTATACTATACAAAAAATATTGGATTGTTGCTAATTTATAGTATAATCCGATTTGTAATTCTTTCTATACAAGTCTCATGCACCAAAAATATGTATATATATATATTATATAAACAACGCAAAAGATGTGCTATATTTTTAGGAACTCTGAAACATTTTTATATGCACAGTATGTGTAAATAGTAAATACAAAAGTGCAGTATAAAAGTGCACTGTGCAAATATAAATATGTGTGTATAAAGTGCAAAAATATATGCTTAAAAATATGGGTGCTAAATACGCTGTGCAAAACCTTAAAGTGCACTAGGTGAGTAAGTAAAAACAAACTTACACTGAAGGCTTAAGCCAAACTCAAAGGTACTGGAACTTCACATAAATAATGAGTGTGTAGTGTTCATACAGTATATCATAATGCGAAAAAAGACAGAAAAGAAAAATACATAGTGTAATGCAGTAAACACACTCGTAAAGATCTGCTTAAATATGAAATTCCACTCACAAGCAGGAAGCAGAACAGTATGCTCCAACTTTCAGCACTTCCAATGTAATAAGCCAAATGACTCCAGCAGTTACTACTTAAACTTTATTCATACACCTCTAAATTATGAGTGTGACACCACCTCCAACATAAAATTCCTCTCCTCGCTAATTGGTACTGTCCCTTTAGTCCAATGCTGGCACTAGCAATACCTCAGGCTGAGCAGTATAAACAATATGAGGACACCAAGCATCTTAATAACCAGAAAGTAATTGAAAACATTCCCAGTTACCTCTGATCTTGTGATATTTACAGTATAATGTCAGTAAATCTTTTTATAACTTATAAAGGATCTGGAGTTTAAATGTAAAATTTTTAAAATGAATAATTACAGTTTAACTTCAAAAATCTGTACATATGACTTAACACTAAACTGGCCTAACATTAACTTAAAATGTATCAATGCATCTAAAAGTCTTAGATATAATATGAATGTAGCAAAGTTGGGGTGATTTCCATGTGATTAATAAATACATGCAAGCAGAATTAATTTATTCATTTAAAGTACCTTTTTTCTTGATTAAAATATTTGGCGATGGTGGCGGTGCATATCAGCAGAGCTGATTGGTCGCATGGCACTGGAGCTCCTAAGAATTGTATCCATTAACACCCTATTCAGGCCACAAAATCTGACCATAACAGCTGCAAACACCGGGTAGCAGTCGGTGTACCAACATGGGTCAAAAGACCAAAAAACAGAAACTGGACCAGCCTAGACAAGGCTTTGATATCAGGGCCATGTGGAGACAGGCACACGGAGCAACTAGGCCTAAGATGGCTGACTACCCAGAGACATACTCCAAACTATCGGATGACTTCTCCCTGGGAGAGGAAACGTCCGACTTACCCAGTATGACGGTAGCAACATCCAAACCCCTGAGCCCTGATACAGCACCAGTGACTACTGCGGTGCTCAAGAAACTTCTGACAGACCTCCAAACCACAATTCAGTCGGACATGGCTAACCTCTGCATGGATATACAAGGGCTGACGGGAAGGCTGGGCGCCCTCGAGAACACCTCCGCAACCAACACTACCCACATTATCTCCTTACAACAGGAGATCAAGGGTCTACAGAACTGAAACGAAGAATTTGACTGGAGGTTTGCCTCCCTGGAAGACGCACGTCGGCTGAATATCCTGATGTCAAGGGGTGTATCAAACAAGGCTCATGACGGCGCTGCTATCGCCACGGCAGGCTAAGGCCATCAGTTTAGACTGTATCTTCAGGGCCTCAAAGCCCTAACGGCGGCCCCCCAAGACTTCATAATCCGCTTTCAACATGGGAAGGATAAAGCAGCAACTCTAGCAGCGGTCAAAGACTGCGCCACATACACATTTGAAGCAATGACACCTTCATATTTTGCGGATCTATCTGGGGGCACTCTAGCCTGGAGGAGGACCCTGAAGCCATTTACCTCGCTCCTCAGACACCATGGCATACCATACAGATGGCGCCTCAACCGCTCCATACTCGTCATGAAGGGTGAAGACAAACACGAAGTCTATGATCTTCAGGGAGCACAGGACCTGCTGCCTATGCTGGGACTTCCTCAAGATGCTATGCAGCACACAGCACCTCATGACTCCACCGGACCACTGCACAGTTGGGACCCAGAGAGGGTGACAGCCTTTGTACCGAGACAACCCAGACAAGGCTCCTATGCTGCAGCCATCACATGAAGGCTTCCTAGCACCCTATAGCAATGGACAGCTGCTGATAAGACACTTTCACCATGTTAATGTTTTGATATGTCTCAACTGCCTCTCAGTTACTTTACTTTTCTTTGATCTATACCTTATAATAGCATAAGAAAGCAGCAGTACAGCTCAGCTACTATAGCACGTTACAAATGTTTTGTTTTGTATGTATATTTTCTCTGTAACTTGGAAAAATGAAATAAAAATTAAAATAGAGGGGGAAAAAAAACAGAATGTTACCCAACATGTTCAAAATCTCTCTTCTTCCCCCACCCCCGGCTGCCCTAATGAAATGCGGGATGACACATACAGCGAATATGTAGACTGTTAACATTTATCAGCTATGTAAATACCTCGCCAACCAAAATAGCTTTCCAAATATTTAGCAGAGAAAAACGATGCATATGGCCTAGCTTAACAACTCATAGTATAGCTTAACAAACCTATAGCCATGCCTAATCTGCACCTCACGCACTAGACACACAGACTTTATTATTAAGCCTACCACGCATTTGAATCCACGCTTTTGTACACACACAAAAAAATTGCGTTGATATATGATTGCCATAACTTGTCGTGATACGTGAATATATTATGTGTGCTCCCTCTGTTGTGGCTTGCTTGTTATATCACGCGCAACAAAAAGAACTAAAAAAAAAAATACACCATCTAGCCCCTATGTCCCCTAAATATATAAAATCTTTGCTTTATTCCAGTCTCTTGCTGGCTCTGCCCCTGATCTGTCTGCTTGGCTGACATCATCTGAGCCACATAGGAACGCTTTGGATTGGCTGAAAATGTCAGGGGGCAGAGACAGCACAAGTCAAACGCAATCAACATCTCCTCTATGAGGAAAATTTGGTGCAGAGGGTGCGGACACTGAATGGCAGTGCTGCACACTGCGCATTACTGCACCAGGAAGCACCTCTAGCAACCATCTGAGGAGTGGCCAGTGGAGGTATCCCTACTACGCTGTAATGTGAACACTGCCTTTTCTCTAGAGAAATATTGTTTTCCTGTAAAAATCCTGAAGGGACTCATTATGATAACCAGATCAAATACAATAAGCTGTAGTTGTGCTGATGACTAAAGTTTTCCTTTTAGGCTAAAATGTGTTTGGTCCTTAGAAAGTCCCTAAAAAGTCCTCACAATAGCATCTGTAATAAATACATCATTTCTGTTCCACTATTTCTTAGCATATATGCTATCAATGGAACAAGAAACTTCATTACAGGAAGATGGGCCTGTCACAAATGCTGTGCTGAATCAAAATATGTGGCAAGTGTCACATAATAATTGTTGAAATAACGTGATGTTCTAGCCTTGTTTTAGTTAATTTTCATATTTGCTTTGTAAAAGATTTTTGATGTCTAAAACCATAATTTGTGAGGACAATTAAAACCAATTAGGTTAATACATTTTATCAGTAATTCTGCATATTTAGTAGGTATAGGAGGTTTTTGTACAATGCTCACAGCTCGCTCTTCAGTGTATATTGATTTTATTTTACCTTGGATGAGTCACATTGCAATATTAATAAAATAATAAAAGATCAACTCTTAAAAAAAATATTTGGCGATGGCACATCAAAGGAAAAGCACCAGACGGATGCGAACAGATTTTGTGCTTCAGCGGCAGTCACATATAGGTTGACCGTGTTAAATACGGCATGACCTCTCATTGGGACTGAAGTTGAGTACATGTGTGATCAGGGCAGAGCTCAGCTTGTCAGGTGTAGAGTCAAATTCGGGGGCAGAGTCTAGATCCCCACCTTCTTTAAACTTCACCTGCTGCCACTGCACACAGGTAATGGCTGGTGCAGTCTTTCTGTACTCTACCCATTATTTATGGTTAATTTTTTTTTTAAATACTTGTATGATTATCTTTCTTTTGGAAGCTTATATATATATATATATATATATATATATATATTTGTGTATATATAATAATGTATATAGACACACAACTACTGTATATGATGCTACCTCTGGTGACATGAAACGTCAAATGGGGCAATATTTGTTAATTGTATCCTATTTTTTTGTTTGTATAAAACTATTGAAGTCTTTGGAGATATAAACCTGTTTTAAGTAATGTTCAATTTTGTGAAGGTTCTGCATTACTGACTTAATTGACATCTGATTCGGTAGTCCATGGATAAATGAATACACTTGATAATTACTTTTGTAAGTAATACCTATTTCCAAATTCAAGAAATGCCAATTTTATAGGTGCAACATCACCAGAACCCTTATTTATACAAAGGTTGTTACTTATTAAAATATACCATATGCATGATATTTAGTTTTATAGTAAATGCCTATTTTAAATTTGAGCGATCCAATTTAACATTCTAAACTTTGTACCGATCCCTTCTTTTACAAGGATTTAGCTAAGGATAATTATTTCCATACAAATTGCTTTACAAAAATCTCTTATCAATCACAGGCAAATCATACTAATAGATTTAATGATAGCATTGTTATGAGAAACCTAATAAGAAATCAGAATATTAAATTTGTAGGAGAATGTATTAACTAATATACTGAATATGCATTTTATTATATTGAGGCTAATAAAAGATGAGTGAAGAGTTGGAAATGTTACATTTTAGGCCAAAAGGGCCAAGTTGTAAAAAATAAATAAAATAAAAATTCCAACTCATTATCTAGATTGGCTGTTACAGTACTTAAATTGTGCAGTATCCTTATTATGCATCACAAGTTACCAATTTCTGGCTGCACCTCTATATTTCCATATAAAAGCACATGGCATGTTGAGTTTAGATATACACGTATATATCTGGCTAAAACATTTGTACCAGTGAAATAAAACACAGTATAGTAGGAGCAAAAATTTTCAAAACACTGCGTATAGCCCCTTTTTGATGCAGCATGCCATTGTTTTGTTGTTTTAGAACAAAGACTATGCAATCAAAGGACCCTTCTGTTAAGCAGCATTTATCAACCACTGTTTCAGGTAAAGCATGTATTAATTGTGAAATAAAGAGAATTCCATAACATTGTATTTAATGTTCAGTAATACCTAACTTAACTATTGATTTTTTTTTTTTTTTTTTACAAAACTAAAAGCACACTCCAGACACTAACAAAACCTTAAAATATTTTAAAATACATAGAAACATAGAATGTGACGGCAGATAAGAACCATTCAGCCCATCTAGTCTGCCCAATTTTCTAAATACTTTTATTAGTCCCTAGCCTTATCTTATAGTTAGGATAGCATTATGCCTATCCCACGCATGCTTAAACTCCTTTACTGTGTTAACCTCTACTACTTCAGCTGGAAGGCTATTCCATGCATCCACTACCCTCTCAGTAAAGTAATACTTCCTGATATTATTTTTAAACCTTTGTCCCTCTAATTTAAGACGATGTCCTCTTGTTGTGGTAGTTTTTCTTCTTTTAAATATAGTCTCCTCCTCTACTGTGTTGATTCCCTTTATATATTTAAATGTTTCTATCATATCCCCCCTGTCTCGTCTTTCCTCCAAGCTATACATGTTAAGATCCTTTAACCTTTCCTGGTTAAGTTTTATCCTGCAATCCATGAACCAGTTTAGTAGCCCTTCTCTGAACCCTCTCTAAGGTATCAATATCCTTCTGAAGATACAGTCTCCAGTACTGTGTACAATACTCCAAGTGAGGTCTCACCAGTGTTCTGTACAATGGCATGAGCACTTCACTCTTTCTACTGCTAATACCTCTCCCTATACAACCAAGCATTCTGCTAGCATTTCCTGCTGCTCTATTACATTGTCTGCCTACCTTTAAGTAATCAGAAATAATCACCCCTAAATCCCTTTCCTCGTATGTTGAGGTTAGGACTCTATCAAATATTCTGTACTCTGCCCTTGGGTTTTTACGTCCAAGATGCATTATCTTGCACTTATCCACGTTAAAGTCTGACAGATTTATAGGTGTGTCATCTCTTGAGTATGCAAGTGAGAGTTAAACGGCTAATGCCCAATCTGCACTTCTAACACTTCACTCTTGCAGTGGTGGGCTAAACATGGCCAGCATTTCAGACTCTGTAGACTAGAACTGCCACTATTTGGCAAGGACAGAGTTCAATAATTTATGTTCTAGAAATTTCTTAAAAATGCAGCATTTCAGTATCTCTTTATTTTCTCTCCTTTATTTTCGATTAGTGGCTTTTGCATGTAATTGATACAGAGATTTAAAAAAAAAAAATGTATGGATCAATACCAGCCCAAACAGTCCTTTTTAATAGCTCCTAAATGGTAAATAATTGAGCAGGGGCATGATCTATACACCAAAACGGCTTCATTAACTCCTTAGGGACAGCGGACTTATCAGGTACGTCCGACAAAAAACGGTCCTTAAGGACCATGGATGTATGTGAAGAAACCCCCTGTTTCCTATGTTATTTACCCATTGCATTCCCTTTTTATCTCCATTTCTGCCTATTGCATTCAGTAGATGGAACTACCGAACAAAGACCACCCCTCTGGCTCAATAAACCTCAAAGTTTGGGTGAAATTGCTACCTCTGTATGTGTGGCCAGCGTTCGTCAGTCGAACGCCACGTGGCAGAGAAAACCGCGGCCATCTTTGTTCATGCGAACAAAGGCAGTGGGACCTGGTCGTCGAGTGCATGGAACTAAAAACAGACACTCGACTTCCCGAACACTGGTCCCAAACAGACGAACGCTGGAACTCCATTTACCGAATAGCTAGAAGAGCGCTATTCGGTACTTTGGTGTATTCGACAGAGGGGCACGAACGCTGCTAAGAGCCAGAGGGATCCATTTGGTATTTTATTCGTTTTTATGCTTTTTCGAAAGTGACTGGCAAAAATCACCACCTTCATGGAACTGTTTTGGGCATACAGCCCAGGGTGAGCCGGTCACAAGAGACTTCCATAAATTTTGCGAACCCCTGAACCGATCTGGGTGAAATTCGGATATGTTGGTCACTCAGATCAGGGCTATCAGGGGAC